TATTGACTTTACCTCGCCTCTGTTTAGCCAAGCAGGGTGGTGCTCTCGCACGCGCTTGAATAGCCGCCTAGTTGTTCGACCAATATAACCTGCCCCACAGGAGCAAGTAAGCGCGTAGATGCACGTTGAGGACGTCTGAAGCTGGCGTCTATCCTTTCCTTCAAGGTGAGGAAGTGGAGTACTAATGTTAACTTGGATTCTAGATATGTACGCGCGATTGCAGCGTTCAAGCAAAGCTGTAGAAGTTCGATTGCTGGATCCCCTTGAAAAAGGCAATGTTAGAAATAGGGCCTTCTTCTCAGCCGTCGGCGCTTCCGATTTTTGTGGACGTTTCTCTATAAATTTATTTATAAACTGCTCGGGAAGGCCATTTTCTTGCAGGGTGTTTGTAATGATGTTTATGGTAGCGTTAGGTTTAAGACCAGGGCTACTAATTAGGTTTACGTCAGGAAAAGTTTTAGTACTAGAACACCGGAATATTTATCCTTCCTGGGTTTATTATTTTGGCGAGACGTTTCTATTCCCGTGTCCTGTTCAGGGGGCCATATAAGTAATCCTTAGGCCTAAAATTTGCATTTCACTCATGCATCGCATATTTAAACAATAGAGCTCTTGGTTTTGAATAAAATTTTCGCTACTATTGGTCGTACTTTAGACCTTCTGGATCTGTGACTCAAGAACACATGGGGGCCAGGTTCTTCGATTCCATAAATGCCATTGCTTGAGGTATTCTTGCTTACCTGTCTGTACGAGTGTCATTTTTTTCTGTTGACTAACCGGCGGACCATCCCATGTTTCCCCATTTCAGGATTCTTTCCCAGGCTTGATTCCCCTCATTCGCCACTATATGAACATGACTGAAGTGGATCCAAACACAGCCTTTTCCATCCATCAGTACTTGAAGCTCATTGGAAAGCGCGCCTCGGGTAAGTTGCACACATATTTTGCTTACAAATGTGTTGTTTCATAGATTAAAATGCCCTCTCCCGTAATTCACTCCGTTAGGTTGCGCGTTTCCCTTCCCAGATTTTTGCAGTTGCATTAATACCAATGAACCTTTTAATACTTTATTTTAGTTTTTCGAATAATTAATTCTAGGTCATAACGTTGCATGCAACCCAACTTTAAGGATGTCTCGTTTTCTCCTCTCTATCAACAACAACTGTCTCAGCGATCATAGCTACTTGTTCCCAATCAACACGCTAACATTGTCACTTATATTTTCCGCTAGAATTTGTACATCAGTAACCTTGAGGATAATTCTAAACCGCAGCAGTCTGCTAGTTTAACCTGGTAACCACGAAAAATGGCTCAGTATAGGAGGC